TCCTATGTTTTTTGTCAGGTTTCGTGATTAATAAATTGTCATTAGTTTTTAAGTTTTCTTAGAGCTTCTGTATGTTTTCGTCAGAATCGCTTTCGTGTTATGTCTATGATTTACGTATTTAAAACAACAGTCGACTAGTGTTGATTTAAATCTTTCGACATTATCTTTTGATGAAGTTACTAGTTCTGACGTTTGAGCATAAAGATTTTCGAATTGAATTTCAACGTCCATTTTATTGACTGTTTTCTTAAAGTTACAAAACTTAGGGCCTAGTGATAACGCTTCTAACGCAGTTTTGTCCAGCATAACACTAGAGAAATTGTGTACGTACTGATCTGGATTAGATGGAAATTTCATTTCTGGAATTTGTTTGTCTAGATTATTCTTAAGTTTCATTCTTTTCTTTTCTTTTCTTGAGTTAACAACCATCTCGACATAGTCCAGATATTGTTCTCTTAATTTATCGGGGAGGTCTTCTATCGCGTCAAAGATTCCTTTGAATTTGTTGATAACATAAAAAATCTATCAGTCAAGAATAAATTCATGATATCACTTGATGTATTATCATTATTCACTAATATTCCACTACTCGAAACGGTTGATTTTATTTGCAATGAACTAACGGCGAGACGCATAGAAACCCCGATTCCCACATCCGCGATAAAACAGTTAATTCTTAGATGCACTATGAATGTCCAATTCAGATTTGACAACAAATAATATAGACAACTAGATGGAGTCGCCATGGGATCAGCATTGGGCCCTCTACTGGCTAATATTTTCCTTGCAAAACTGGAAAATGGACCACTTAAAAGTACAATTACCCATTCACCAACTTATTATCGCTATATAGATGATACTTTCATAGTATTAGAAAAAGAAAATGATAAGCACAATGTACTTAGTATATTTAATAACGTTCATCCATCAATTAACTTTACATCAGAAGATGAACAGAATAATAGCATATCTTTTCTAGACATCCAACTAACTAGAAGAACAGACGGAACTATAAAAAGAAGGGTACACAGAAAGTCAGCAGCAGGTCAATACACTCATTTCCACAGTGCAGTTCCAATCAGATACAAAAGGAACTTGATAAAGATCTTGACACATCGTGCTAGAATGATCTGTTCTGAAGACACCATTGAAGAAGAATTGAACAATATTCGGAACCTACTCAGTCTGAATGGGTACCCCATGAAATTCATCGACAAACATATGACGGAGAAGAAAACAAGGACAAAAATACCCACCGTTCCCAAGAAGGTATTATTCATAAAACTACAATTCACAAATGACACCATTGAAGAAGTCATGACTCAGAAACTACGAAGAGCTGTACAAAAAACATTTAATGCTGCCAAATTAAATGTCATCTTCTACAACCACCCGAAAATAAGAACATCCATTAAAGACAGACTGCCAGAATTCGCCAAATCTATGTGTATCTATCGTTTCAACTGCTCCTGTGGAGCCAGTTACATAGGGCGTACAATTCGGCAGGTCCGTCATCGCATTACAGAACATCATCTGTTAGCGGGACATAGACTAGACTAAAGCATGCTCAATGCATGATTGCTTTGGTGCACGCTGATTGGCTAATTCTTATCCAATCAGCGCTAGTCGGTAGTTGGAGAATATTCTGGATTCTTCTTATGTAAAAACTATAAATATACCGACGTTTTCCCCTATTGTGCTTCCTACTGGCTTCTGACTTGCTATTTGGAATATAATCATTTTCCTGTTCAACCGTGTTCTGATTTGGGGACTTGTCGAGTGAATCGGTGTCCGAGAATACTAAGCAATAGGAATAGCTGGGTCATTAACCGTAAGAAGAAAGAGAGGTTATAACAGTGGCGACGGGGAAAAACTAAAGAAAAATGGCGATTTCTTTAGAACAGTTGCGGTTAATATTACAGCACCAGCAGAAGTTGTTAGCCTTGCAACAACAACTATTGAACACACTTTTCACTCGACCAGAAAATAAGAAATCTGTTTATGATGCAGTAACAGACATTTCAGAAGCATATCTAGTGGAGGGTTCAAATCCCTTTATACCTGAATCAGAACGTAATATTTGTAACGTTTCCGGCTCACAGCAAGAAAATCCTGTGCTGAATGCTCATAAAGTTGTGGCAATACGAGATTATCAAGAGCCAGACCCTGTAGATGAAGCCCGGAGTCCAGAATTGAATGAAGCACTACTGGTCCTGTCTAGCTCTGAAAATAACTTTCAGCTAGAACAAATTTATGGTCCACGTGATATTAGCCAAGAAAGCTATGGGGACTCGTATTCAGAAAATAACTGCAGTGACACAACGAACCCAATTATACCGAATGTTACTCAAAATCATTGTGAGACAGAAACTTATATTGAATCAGCTTATCCGATTTCTAATGACAATGTATCAGACATGGGTTCTCAGAACAATGCATGTTATTTTGATGAAATTTCTCATAAAAATCAGGAAAATATATCAGCTGAGTCAAATTATGGTCAAAAGTCTAATTTAATTTTGTTGGATGATGATTTCCGTAATGATCCATTATCCACTGATGAAATTCCTAATGGATTTGAAAGTAATGCTTCAGAAGAATTAAACTTTGACCTCAAATCAAAGGTCGTTCATTATCATCTAGTCGTTTCTAGTGGATCCGACAGTCAATACGAGAAACATGGTTTAAATAAAGTCCTACTAGTTATAATTTGGAGCCATAAGGACCCAACATTATTTCGAGGAGGAGGAGAATGTTGGAGAATTAAAAGTTATGCATACTTTTTTTTAAGAAAAATCAAAACGCCTGGAACAGACATGTCAGTCTCTGTGCAAGGAAAAAGTGATAATTCTTCATTGCCTAGACGATGGACTAATCGAAAGCACAAGCCAGTCACTCAGTTGCAGTTGGACCCTAGCACCAGATCCTACGAATCTGCTCAGAGGGGAGGTGTTAGCGGGACATAGACTAGACTAAAGCATGCTCAATGCATGATTGCTTTGGTGCACGCTGATTGGCTAATTCTTATCCAATCAGCGCTAGTCGGTAGTTGGAGAATATTCTGGATTCTTCTTATGTAAAAACTATAAATATACCGACGTTTTCCCCTATTGTGCTTCCTACTGGCTTCTGACTTGCTATTTGGAATATAATCATTTTCCTGTTCAACCGTGTTCTGATTTGGGGACTTGTCGAGTGAATCGGTGTTCGAGAATACTAAGCAATAGGAATAGCTGGGTCATTAACCGTAAGAAACCAGAGATTATAACATCATCCGACATGGCTAAGCAAAGGACAGGTGAAAGTGATTAAAAGTTCTATTCTCTCTCACTTGGTTGACACAGGTCATCAAGTCGAATTGAATAAAGCTTTTAAGGTTATCTACAATATTCCATCAAATCTACCACATGGTTTACGAGTGCGTCTTCTGCACATTGTGGAAGCCATCGCAATCCATGTTCACAAACCTGACCTTTGCATCCAAAAGAAATTCGTACAACCACTTTCTCCGCCCTGGCCTTCAGTATAAGATTTCCGTCATAAGAACTATTTTTCATATTTCTTCCACTTCTTTTTTTTATTTAAATTTTTGTAATTTTGTTTCTATTGCTTTTGAACTTTATAACTTCTCAACATTCATCTCTTGATTTTTACGTAACTACTATCCTATTGACCACCCGTTAAAATTCTGTTCCTTCCCTGTTTCTTATATTACGCAACGTAGCAACTTCTTGATTTAATAATTACTTTGAATATTAATAATCCTCTTTCTTCCAATTACTCAATGTTAATTTAAATGTCATTATGTAATTATTACGTAACGTATCCACTCGATGAGTATTATATTATTATTGTAAAACATATATATATATTAGTGTAGAGCCATGATGAAAAACTAATTGAAAAGAAATTTCTTCGCTCAATTCGTTCCTTCTTTAGTTTTAGGAATCTTGTCACAAATAACACCGGTTCATCGAAATGCAAGTTAAGCCAATATAATCTCGAATAATATTGGAGGATAACAAGAAATTATCAAAATATCTGCGTAAATAGAAGTACCTACAGTATTACTAGTAATAATGTCTAATTTCATAGTAAGTTGAACTGCCAATAGTAGATGATAAGCGCATTAGTCATAAATACTATACTCGACGACAATCCGTCCTAATGTATATTGCCCCAAGAGGAATTGTCTTGGAGATAAGGAGTCTGTAGTGTCAGTTATTATGCTAAGCCTATATACCTTATTCTAGCTTTCGGACATCCCATTTTATTCATTCTACTTGAGCCATACTTTGACCTTGTTATTTATTAGCTTATCAATCTAGACTGTTTTTATATGAGCGTATATGTGTGTACCCTTCTTATCCCATTAATCACATGTCTGTAGCTTTATTTTGTCTGACTATAAATATTGAGTAACACTTGACTAAAACGGAGTTGGCTTACCAGCCGTCTCCACTGCGCATCATTTTTACTTGGCTTCACCATGTGCTTGGTTGCTGTACGCTTGCGGATTTTTATTAATCATTAGCAATAAATTATCTCTACAACTGGTGTTCAGGCTTTTGAATAGTCTCGAGTAAATCTGTGATTCTACTAGGAGATTAAGCCTGCATTAAATACTCAGTTAACGGGATATTATTTATTGGAGTCAGATATTGAGGACATTAGCCTTAACAAATCACCAAAAGTAATATTGGTGTATGAATAAGATTAGTTTAATGTAAGTTGATACGCTCATATCTGTAGAAGTGATTATTATTATTATTATTATTATTAGTAGTAGTAGTAGTATTTAGTGAAAACCTAGAAGCACTGCATCAGTTCATAATCTTAATAAAAACTCAACAACCTCCACAACTCTATAATGATACCGGATAACTGTTATACTAAAGAAAACGACGAAAATAAATTTTTATATGTTTCTTTCTAAAGAACATTTCAATGGAACTGCTAAAAATAGCAGTCAGTAATAATGTTTTTTTATGTTAACTTACACCGGGAGATGTATTTCTAAAGACAGTAGATATATCTTGTAATGAATTGAAATTGTCAGCAGATACTGAGCCAAATTGAACTATTCGATCTCCAACTTTTAAATCCTGTAAAACATTAAAATATTGTAATCTTAGTTCAAGTTCAATGCTCAGCTAGTCTTCATTTGCAATGTACAACAAGTCGTAATTCGAATTTTAATCTAAAAAGGTCTTACTTTTTGTTTGGTCACATAGAGTAATAACTAATATCACTTCTTCCCAATCCTTAGACTACGGATTAGAATACAATTTATCTAGCACTTCATGTGATTTAACATTGTAGGTATTATGTTTTCAAAATAGGTGGTTGGAGGGAATCAACAGGAATAAACAGAATTAGGTTCTCTTATGGTTGGGACACATTTTCAAGATTTACATCTACAGGAAAGCATCAGTATCCTCGATATTAAAAATACCTTACTGATGAGTATCAGCTACCAATAAATTTAGGTCCACCGCCTGCTATCTATTGTCTTTCAATACTCAAAAGCACAGCAGAAAAATTATCGGACAGACTGATCAGCTATTGCTACATCTGGTTTCGGTGTAAACGACATGATTGTTTGTGAAATTATTCGAGGTGATAACAGGGGGAATTTCCTAGAGTTAAAAATGAATCACTAAGTGCCTTGAAATTCGCGAAATCCATAGTCAATCTAATTTAATATTCGTAAATTCCGGAGAGAGAAGACAACTGTAGGGCTCAAGGTATTTAAAGCCATATGGTATAGCAGTTGAAAATGTATCTACAATTATGAGTAATGTTAAAAGGGTAATGAAAATCATAAAGGTGGGCAACTAAACAGTATTATTATTAGAAGTGAGCAACATCATTTTCGTATATGAAGCCGTCAATAAGTCTAGTTTAATTATTTCATATTATGAAGTTGTAATACAAAAGTTCAAAATATCACCAGACATACAACAATCAAAAGTCTACATAGTAACGCCTAGACTACATAAAATAGCTATTAATTTCACGTACTCTACATAGATTTAGTTGAAATAAAAATGAACATCAGCTTGATAACTAAAAGATAGAGGATTTTAATCAACACATTTACAGATTGCACTAATTATTACCGTTTACATAATATTAACACTCATTTAAACAATAATAAATGCTTACTGCTTGTTCCGCTATTGAATTAGGTGATATCTGATCAATTTTAAGGAAAGGTTTCTTCACAATCTGTGCGGATTGATCTTCACTTAGTTTATTCTCACTGGAACAAGCATTTCCATCAGTTAAAACATTTTTAGATGGATTTTGACGAGCATATTCATGTATTTCATGTAAAACACTTTCCAATTCAAGCATTATTTGTTTATGATCTGTATTTAAACCTGAAAGAGAAACCAAATGAGAAATAACACATAATTTTACAAACATATCTTTATATGCGTGCATTAAAAAAGAACCTAAAAATTAAATTATTTATAGAGTAACTCTAGTTAAATATTTTGGATAATAATTTATTCTGAACTTTGTGAAGAGACTTTTTAAAAATCAATGTAATCTACTAATATCTGAGTGACTTCCTACAACTTTAATAATAGTGAGATATAATGATTCACTATTTAAAAAATACTAATGGAAGTTATATTAAGCGCATATTAGAAATGCCAAAGTAAATAATTTGGCAACAAATTTAATGATTACTAACTCTCCTATTTTGAAAAAGAAATAATACTTCAAATAAAAACTTTTAAAATGATTTATTTGTTTAAATAATAAATACAACACAAGAAACCCGATATGCCAATTACTGAAGTGACATAAGCATAGTTCACTCTCTAAGAACAGATTAATCATATGTATTTGGTTTACCTCAAATTATTAATTGTTAGATGGTTGGAAGTCTAATTACTTTCAATCAAAGGAGTCACTGACAGTGGTTAACCGTAACGATGCTCATTGTGTCTAAAATGATTCATCAGCTGGGCATATGTGGATTATATTGAAAATAACTAATAATGTTCAGTATGGGGTTGCGGAAGTTGCTGAATTTCATTAAAATCATTGACTAGTGAGTAGTTATCATCCAAAGACAATGTAAGATGATCACGCAATACCATGAACTGATTGAGGTTAGATGATATTACCAGTGAATACCGACTCAGCAGCCTAAAGATTAAGCATACTCGAGAGAAAAGAAGGTCCCTGGTTCAAGATCGTAAGTGCGCACTGCTAAAAAAAGTTCATACTCGGACGAGACGGCCGTTCGGGTCTTTCAATTTTTCAATAGTGGTCAAACTTAGATAGGTCCGTGATTCCAAAGAAACTAACAGTGTCTTTAGACTTACGCGTCTAACAGTTACTTTTGAACGAATCTTGTGATTTTCGGATTGGACAAACTTGTAAAAAATATCATATGTCAGATAGCTGAAGATAACCAGCAAGAGGCCCTGGACAGAAATTCCATGTTAACTGGTTATTTATTTATTTATTTATTTAAAACATAGATATTGGTACAAGGAGGCATCAAATACATATGCGCCACACAAATCTTATTCGACATGTGTGAGGGCTGTGATACTGTCCGGGTGCCCAAACCGAAACAGGTGGTTTTCTTAGGGGACCACACCCGGAGCCTTCGACCTGGAGGTCTGATCCACAAGGCAGTGAAGCATCGTGAAGAGATGCAGTCCCATGGAAGCCGGTGACCAACAAATGGTCCATACGCCATTTGTTCCCGCAGGATACTGGAGCCCATGTGCACCAATGGTTTGTAATCCCGTTAAAGCTCCGGACATTCACTTTTCATCCTCTCATTTTCGTAAACAACACCCCCGCCACGAGAAGGCAGTGAGTAGGACTTCCCTGGTAGAGGCTATATACGCGTGACCATGTGAGAGCATTTGGAGAGGGAGAGTGGACTCTCCCCACTCTCGTCCGTACCAAGGCATTTGAGGGCATGTTAAGTGGTACTCGTTAACAACAGTTATTTGCAGCCTCATGTGTACTGATGCTTTCCAGAAGACGTAAATCGGCGGTATTGAGTAGCTTGGTCTGTTAATCTTGTTATGACTTAATCAACTGAATTCGATAAGGGCTATTGATTAAAAATGACAGTGGTTACTACTCGGTGATTGACTATTGAGTTAAGAGGATTCAATTTATATCACACGAACTACTAAAGAGGATAAGTAGCTTATTAACTAGTATTTTGTTTATTTATTTGAACACATAAATATTGGTACAAAGGGGCACCGAATACATATGCGCCACACAAGTCACTTGATTTGTGTGTGGGCTGCGATACTGCCCGGGTGCCCAAACCGAAGCAGGTAGTTATCTTAGGGGGCCACACCCGGAGCCTTTGACCTAATGGTCTAACCCACAAGGCAGTGGAACAACGTCAGGAGATGCAGTCCCATGGTAGCCGGTCACCAATAATTGGGTCACACGCCATTTGTTCTTTCAGAATCCTGGAGCCTATATGCACCATTGGTTTGGAATCAGGGTTTTCCAACTCCCCTAGGTGGATCCTCCATATCCACCAACCCGGTTAAAGGGCCGGATATTTGCTTTTGTTCTCTCGATTTCGCAAACAACACCCCCGCCGTGAGAACGCAGTGAGTAGGACTTCCCTGGCAGTGGCTGTATACGCATGGCCATGTGAGAGCATTTCAAGAGGGGAAGCTAGCTCTCCACACCCTCTGCCATACCAGGACATTCAGGGGCGAATGTAGAGCGCCGTCCTTGCGCAAAGGCCATGCTAATCTTACCCTAAAGTGTGTGTCGGAGGTGGGATTCGAACCCACACCCACATCGTGGACCAGAACACCCAGAAGAACACTCTTGAGTCTGGGACCTTAGACCGCTCGGTCACTCCGACGTGTTTAACTAGAGATAAGAATAATAAAAGTCTTCTTGAAACGAAATATACGGTACCAAACTAAACAAAGCCTACAAACTTACAATAGATATTGTTTCGCGTTATTCGTATAAGAGCCACATCAATATCAGAGCGTGGGTAGCCTTCATCATCAACTAATGGGGTATCCATACCAACATTGCCATTCTATTTAGAAACAGTTATAATGGGTAAGTAAAAATTAACAGTAAAAAATGTAGCTGATGACTATCTTTTATTCAACATGCGTCAAATTAAGAATCGCAGATAAGTAATTCTGAATGGGTACAAATAATTTTAATATCTACAATTCGTCCATTTTTTGTTAGCTACCACGTTTACCATTCCAATTGTAAATCGTTATAAAAGCTGACCTGATTGTAAAGTGAAAGAACGAAAAGAGTATTACTGAACTTGGTAAGTTGTTTTTAGAAGAGTACGTTCAGTGAATTAACTATGAAACTGTTACTCAGAGTTATATTCTGGTTATGTACCGACTGGGATTTATTAACTATCCTGCATGTAACCCTTCAACTTATATAATTATGCGTTTTTGAATAGTATATTTACAAAGAATACAGACACCTTAAGTGACATTTTCGTGCATTAAGCTTCAGTTTGCGACTACAACTTCAATATAGTGAACGAGACTGCCGCTATTCTCTTCGTATCTGAAGCGCAACTAGAGTAAGAGGTCCAGTTTCTTAAAAGAAGCTTTATTGATAATGAATCCAGTAAAGTTAAAAACACATAATCTAATCGGATATATATGAAATACAATGATTATAATTTATGAACTGAGTAGTTGTCACTCAACACAAATCATATCAAAAATGCATTGGAAGTTAATAAAATAATGTAGCGTCAGTGGTCTTGACCTCTAACAGCACTCAAGACCACTGACCTTACACACCGTAAATTCACCTTAAGTAGATATTGATTTAGTCCTATATAAGTTTTTTTTAGGAGAACAAAACCTTAACAACAATGTACCTGGCTGGCCTTCCTACTGTTCTGATTGATGAGTTGGAAAAGTATGAATTCTGTGTGGGACCAAAAATTGTTGGCATTTCCAATAACTTCATCATATACTAGAGTTATTCGTGTAAACAAATCAAAACATTAATTCTACACTGAAAGTTACAGGCTATAAATTTGATGTCAAGAGCAATAATGAAAAGATTACTCGATATAATAGTTGCTGATGCTTAAAATGTTAAATCATTTTCATCATGTTAACATAAAGGTAAATGTGAGTTGTAGTGACAAAAGAATATTTGAGAGAGAAGAATTATCTAGAAACCTAAGAAAATTAGAGGGTTAAAGATATTTGGATATAAAATAAAACATCATAGACGAAGTTTAGTTTGAAACAAGCAAAAGGAACTACTTGTTTTGCATTATATCTTCATCCAGCCGAATTTCATTCGTTTCTAAACACTTCTAGTTTGATTCACCTAAGCTATAATAGAAAGATGACTAACATACGCTATTCACATTCCTTAACTTTCAAAACCGTAACATCAGAGAATATCTGTCTTCATTAGCTTCGCATATGTGATTCAAAGTAGAAATATAAGGTAAGTATTTCTTTTTTTTAAAAAAGATGCCTATTCAATGACTATTCAATTAAAATACATGGTTTGTTAAATATCCATTCCGTACGGATTAACTACGAAATTTAATAAATATGAAAATGTTTCAATTAAACTAAAATTTACCTGACGAAGTATTTCACTTAATTCCGATAATTTTTTTTCGATTCTATTCTTTTCATCCACTAATCCATCATACTTCAATTTGATCGAATTAAAGTTATCAGAATTTGTATTAACTGCCTAAAAACAAATTTAAAATACTAAATAGCAAACAAAGTTTTTCTCTTAAATGGAACATTTAAGAGCTTCAATGTAATCTTACTTATCAGTCAAAATAACATTCATTCCAACAAGGATGCTTGGAAATAATTCTATTTTAATTGCTCTAATCTTATATATAGCATAATTAAAACAAATAACAAACAAAATGGTTAATATTTTATGGAGGAAAAGAAACAGAACACCTATTGAACTTAATGTACTCGGGATAAATGTCCTCATTATGAATCGATAGACTCAGAAATTGAAAACAAATAAGCTGTACTCAATACAAAATTTGTTAGGTACAAAAAAACACAGACACTACCAGAAGCTAATACAAACGAAACACCACTTGTTTGCTTGAAATATGAATCAAAAATAACTTTTCTAGCATATATACAGCACTATTTAACTAAAAAAATAGACTTCTTAATTTAATCATTATTTACGAGAATCTAAGTATTTAATAAGATTTGTTCAAAATGAAGACAGAGATTATACTGACATTAGAGTAAAATACTGAAAATTAAACTTTTATAAGGCTTTATTCTAATATGATTATAATTCCAATGCTTTTTCTAAAGTTTTGACATAATTCGTATGTTGAAATATTTATAATTCGTATTACTATTGCTATACAGTTTATGTCTTATTATGACTAGCGTAAAAACGATAAGGATATTACTCCACTTTTATTCTAATATCGATGTGGATGTGAACAAAATTAAGACCTGAAATGCGAAAAGTAGTTGTCTGTCGAAACACTATTTTTATAGCATTACTACAATAAGCCATCTAACATTGAGTTAAAGGTGAAAACTAACCTGGACTATGAACACTAAGATGGCCATCAGGGTAGTACATAAATGAAACTGGTCATTAGGTTATATTTTTTGAGTTTTACAGTACTATCACCTGACTAACCAGTAATGAGAGAAATTCGGATGTAAAAATATACATTCCAACTAATATTTCAATAAGGAAAGATATGACAACCATAACCCTATATCTATTCACAGAAAGTGCCCCAACATATCTCACATTTATATTTCAATATTGCAACACTATTTAAACTAAGAAATACACAATACTAGTAGGATAAGAGATCAATAAGTTTATACACAATAGGTATTAATACTAATAACTATAATTATATGACAGTAGCTTAAGTTATTATGGTAACATTTTTTATACTATCAGTAGGTTGAAAATACTATTACGCAAACATCCAGGCATACATGATTTCATTCAAAATGATCCAAGTGATCATGCAAAATATTTGAGTACGAATGAAATAAGTGAGATCATGAATAAACCAATGCAATGGTGTCAGCGTTATTGCCATCAACAAATGTATGCAATAGTCAAGTTATCAAAACGAATTTCTTTATTTGAAAACAGTGAATTGGTGTACAAATGTTTTCTTTACAATGAACATTTACATAGATTTGAACAATCTACCTGCAAGTTGCCACACTGTACTAGACAAAGTCAACTTGTGCGAAAAGAGAATGGAGTAAGTTCTTTGATTTTATCTAAGTAAAATGAAGAAAATCAACACCACCGAAAATAAGGAGTCCTTTTTATAAGGATTTCGAATAAAAGTAAAATGAATAAACTTCAAAAAAACATTAAAACAGTAGCGGGAATTTATTTGGAAGCTTTGGTTTGTTACAAGTATAAAATACGTAGAGATGACTGATCGAGTACATGGATTTCATAAAGTTCAACGTTTAGTTAGGTTAGAAAGCTAATACTGACAAAAGCTTATGTCGGTTTAACCAAATAACTGGTCAGAATACTGAGATTCTGGCAATTATTTTTGTAAATTCAAACCAAAACCTCACAGATTGTATTTTGAGGAGCTAGAAATTATCTGTAACAAACAAATAAAACGTTTTAGCTCAAAGTCAAGTATGCGACCAAGTATTTACTAAGTTGAGTTAGTTATTGATTATTTGACCATCTGTTTGGCTAACTTCCGCTTCACAAATAGTACAAAATCAAAACTCCACCAGGTAATCTAATAAGCTACAATTGAATTCATGATAAACTAAACACAATAGGCTTAAAGATCTGTACAAGTGCTTGAGAAACATTTCCTCATACAAGAAAAGCAACATACATCGAGAACCGTCAGGCAAATATTGTCACACAAATATCAAGAATACGGATGAAGAGTTCTGTTGTGCACGTTCCAAACAACAAATTGAAATCCATAAAATTTTCAATTTCTATTTACCACTCATTTCTACATCATATTAAATGATTGTTCAGTGCCGCAAGGCTTCCAACCTTTAAGTCGCAAATTTGAAACTGATACGACGTAAACAGCATTAAGGAACTTAGTTGTATCGCAAATGATCACAAATGAGACCTGTTAAACGTGTAAGTAGGATTCAGTCAGTAGAGTTATAAAAAAAATACTTTCACTAAACTAATGCTGTAAATATGGTCAATAATTACAAAAGAATGACTGAAATACATCTATTTCGGTGACGAACATGAAAACTCAAGATTAATTATTTGAGTTAGAGATTCAGGGTTTTCAAACAATATCCCAGTCTTTATTAAATCCAACAAGAAAAAGAAAATTAGCTAGCAAATCAAGTTTTCTTCAAATAATGACCGATAAAAAAGGTGAACATTAGAGATCTACTTTATTGACAAGTAAAAAACCCTAAAAACACAAACTATAAAGAAACAAAATGGTCAAAAAACCGTGATAGTGATAAAAGGTTTATTTACACAGTTATTTTGCACTTAAAATGGGATAACATGGATATATTTACAAAACTTTATATGAATGTATTTAATTTTCGTATTTTAAAATGGAGCGATAAAAGTTAAATTGGTTAAAGCGTCACATATAGTTTTACGATCAGGAAATTCTGTGAATGGCTCCAATTCATTTGTTAGCGCAATCAATGGGATTAAACATGTTAATAAGCCATCAAGTAGTAACGACTCTACACCTACAGGGTCAATTGGTCCCTGTAAAACAAACAAGAAAACAAGTAAACTATATATATAATCTTCAATCAACCTTTTACTTAATGAAATAGCATGCAATACAAAAAACAAGATTCTACTTTAATAAACTTAGACTGCAGATAACCTTGAGTATAATACATCAATCTGGGATATTTCAAATGGTTTTTCAGGGCGATACTATAATTTATGTACGAGCCAATCAGATTTACGATAACGTCTGAGATTTTGACGCGAAAGTCATTCACCTATTTGGCTAAATAGTCTTGGTATTATAGCTGATGTCAGTTCGTGATGAAAACCCTAAATCTAACTCCTAACACTAACCATCAACTGTAAATCATAATCCTTATTCTTAAAACTACTTTATAACCCTGATTTAGTTCTAGTAAGTAGACACTCTCAAGGTCACTTTAGCGTCGCTCAAAGGTCGTCCATAAATTATAGTCTCACTGTTTTTCGCAATACACTCACCGTTTGGATCATATCTGCAGTAAACTTCACGATTATGCAGTAGATTACAGGAGCGAGATTTACTATTTCCGCTTAAGATAGCTACAATGGTCACATGATGCTGTAGATAGAAGAGTGAATTGAATTTTTGTTACAGCTTACTTGCTAAATGGCTATGTAATGAAAACTAACTTTTAGTGAGAAAGTGTCTTCAAAGTAAAAATACAGTAGCTCAATATTCCGAACTGTTATTTAAGCATAACATAAAATGACTTAAAATATCTGACTGTAGGATATATCGCCTCAAGCTTTTGTAACAAACATACCAGACTGATATTTAATTATCCAACAGAACGGGTAATGAGCTAGATATGTGTTGCAAAAACTCACAGATAATGTTATGAACAGTAAACGTTTAAGCAAACAATTTCTCTAATCATAGCTGATTTGTGCAACTAATTTTCTGGTCATAAAGAACTATCATAGATGAGACTTCCAATTACCTCATAATCATTAACATTTTTAGAAAATGTTGCAAATCGATCACTTAAAAGCTGGAAATGAGCGGCCAGATCAAGCAAACTATAAAATGTTGTTTGTGTGCGACTGAGTTGAACTTCCAAACGATCACGTTCTCTTAATTTTCTATCTTCGGATAGAACTTCCCGTTTTCCATGCTGTTCAATTTGTTTTAAAAGACGCTTTGCCTTGTTTTTCCATTCGCGTTTAACTTTTTCTGGCACTGTTAACCACAAAGCCTTAAATAAACAAAAAAGTTAAGTTGCATAAAAACGAACAGATAAGTAAATTTGAATTAACTAATCAAAAATCAATTTATCGTGTTGTACTGCACCAAACTCAACAATATATCTGCAAACAGCGAGCTAGGCAGCACTCTGTATTCCGTGTTGATTAAAACCACACACGACATGCCAGGTTTCGCTGGCTAACTACAGGCGTAGGTGAGGATAGTTAACTGATCAATAAATGAAAATTCACTTGTGTACCATAGATGGCTAGTACCTACTATCCTTATACACATAAGAAGCATTTCAAGCACCTAGGTAAGTAGATTTACGTGCCAAATTAAACTTTCTACATAGTTCTATATTATTTTGCTGTCAGTTACTCAAATCTCTGTTAAAAATAAGCATTCTATAGCAACTCTTATCAAAAATCTCATCACATCGCAATTAAATACTATACAATTCGTACTTGCTAACTCCTTTAATTATGTCTGCAAGATCGAAGTTTCTATATTTTCTTGCTTTCATATAAGTCTATTCCTCTTAATAATAAATGGAAAAATCGGAACGGTTTCATTAGGTTTATTGAAATCCAAATACTGTACAACGATCAAAACGCATAATTATGACATTTGCAATAAGCTGAGTCAACTACAAAACTGTATATACTAGGATATGAGTGTTTCACAGTTACTCATGTTTTCCAGTAATCAATTTTATAATTAACTTCGCCTGGAGCCCCTTTGAGGCTACTGCCGGTCCCAAGCTCGGATAAAGAAGGAAGGTTGGGCATGGGGTTGACGACCCCATCCCGTAGAAAACTAACTCGCTGAAAAAACGCTAACCAAAAAAAAAAACAATTCAAACCATTTAAACTCTGCCCTGGAAGTTAGAGGGTCTCCATTTAGAAAAGTTTCTTCGGAAGTCACGAAGCTGAGGCCCCTACTGACACTCAGAACAACCATTAATTTAGGTAAATGGAATGTTCGTACAATGTGGGAGACTTGGAGAGTCATCCAAGCTGCTGCAGAAATGAAAAGATACAACCTGGAGGTACTGGGAATCAGTGAAACACATTGAAGGCAGATCGGACAACAAATATTAGCTTTAGGGGAGCTGTTGTTACATTATGACCATAAAGAAAATGCTCCACATGCACAATGAGTTGCACTGACGCTATCCAAACAAGCACAAAATGCACTTATAGGATGGGAGTCTCATAGACCCAGGACCATCAAAGCCTCCTTCAAAACAAAGAAAGAGGGCATTACAGTGAACGTCATCCAATGCTATGCGCCTACCAACGATTACGGTGAAGGTATTAAACATCAATTCTACGATAGGCTGCATTCAATCGTTGAGAAATGCTCAAGAAAGAACGTGACCATTCGGATAGGAGACCTAAACGTCAGTTGGAATGGACAATACCAGATAAGATATCATGGGACGATATGAACTGGGAGAAAGGAACAAAAGTGGTGAGATATGCAAAAATATGTGCCTTCAACAAACTGGTCATAGGAGGCACTAAATTCCCGCATAAACGCATTCACAAAGCCACATGGACTTCACCGGATCACACAACACAGAACCAAATCGATTATATTTGCATCAATAAAAAGTTCAGAAGGACGATGGAAGACGCAACAACCAAGAGAGGAGCTGACATAGCCTTAGATCATCACTTGCTGGTCGCCAAGATGAAACTGAAACTCAGGAAGCACTGGACAACGGGTCGGATATCACGAAATTTTAATACGGCCTTTCTTCGGGATGCTGACAGACTCAACGAATTCAAGATAGCCCACAACAATAGGTCCCAGGCCTTTCACGATCTACTCAACGGAGAGGGAACTACCATGGATAACAAATGGAAAGTGATCAAGGAGGTGATCACTTCAACATGTCATGAAGTTCTGGACCACAAGAAGCACCATCACGAGGAATGGATCACTGTTGGTACAATCAATATCAGACGAAACAAGAACCGATAAAGCTAGAGCACAAGCCGAATACACGGAAGCAAACAAGCAAGTGAAGAGTAGCATCAGAACTGACAAACGTAAATATGTGGAAGATCTATTAATGACGGCGGAAAAGGCTGCAAGAGATGGAAACAATTGTATGATACAACAAGTAAGCTCACTGGAAATTATCGTAAACCAGAACGACCAGTGAAAAGCAAGGAAGGTAAAGTATTCACCAACATTGAAGAACAGCGGAACAGGTGGGTAAAGCACTTCAAGGAACTCTTGAACTGACAAACCCCACTGAACACACCCGACATCCAAGCAGCACCCACGGACCTCTCAATCGATGTTGGCCCACCAAAAATTGAAGAGATCAGCATAGCCATCAGACAAATCAAGAGCGGCAAAGCAGCAGGACCAGACAACATTCCAGCAGAGACACTGAAAGCAGATGTAGCAGTAACTGCAAGGATACTCCACATTCTATCCAGCAAGATATAGGATGAGGAACAAGTACCAACAGACTGGAAAGAAGGACACATGGTCAAGATACCAAGGAAAGGCGATCTCAGCAAGTGTGAGAACTACAGGCGCACCACTCTTCTCTCAATATCAGGCAAAGTCTTCAACAGGGTATTGTTAAACAGTATGAAGGACTGCGTAGACGCCCAACTTCGAGACCAACAGGGTGGATTCCGTAAGGATCGATCGTGTACAGACCAAATCGCAACTCTACGGATCATTGTGGAACAATCAATTGAATAGAATTCATCACTCTACATCAACTTCATTGACTACGAAAAGGCATTTGATAGCGTGGACAGAACAACACTATGGAAGCTTCTTCGACACTACGGCGTCCCTCGAAAGATAGTCAATATCATACAGAACTCATATGATGGATTAAACTTCAAAATCGTGCGTGGATGACTGCTGACAGACTCGTTCTAAGTAAAGACCGGTATCAGCCAAGGTTGCTTACTCTCGCCCTTCCTCTTCCTCCTGGTGATCGACTGGATCATGAGGACGTCAACATCTTAGGGGAAGCATGAGATGCAGTGGACAGCTAGGATAAAGCTGGACGACCAAGACTTAGTGGATGTTCTGGCTTTTTTATCGCACACTGTTATAACTCTGTTTTCTTACGGTTATGGCCCAGCTATTCCTATTGCTTAGTATTCTTGGACACCGATTCACTCGACAAGTCCCAAAATCAAAACACGGTTGAACAGGAAAAAGATTATATTCCAAATAGCAAGTCAGAAGCCAGTAGGAAGCACAATAGGGAAAAACGTCAGTATATTTATCCAGAATATTCTCCAACTATCGACTAGCGCTGATTGGATAAGAATTAGCCAATCAGCGTGCACCAAAGCAATCATGCATTGAGCATGCTTTAATCTAGTCTATGTCCCGCTAACACACACCCAACAACAAACGCAGAAGACGACCAGTGTAGCAGCAGTAGGTTTCAATATACACAAAGGGAAAAGCAATATTCTCCGATACAACACAACATGCATCAGTCTAATCACACTTAGCGGAAAACCTTTGGAAGATGTGAAAAGCTTTACATATCTGCGCAGGATCATTGATGAATACGATGGATCTGATGCATATGTGAAGGCGGGGATCGGAAAAGCAAGAGCCGCCCCCAAATGCCCTGGTACGGACGAGAGTGGGGAGAGTCCACTCTCCCTCTCCAAATGCTCTCACATGGTCACGCGTATATAGCCTCTACCAGGGAAGTCCTACTCACTGCCTTCTCGTGGCGGGGGTGTTGTTTACGAAAATGAGAGGATGAAAAGCGAATGTCCGGAGCTTTAACGGGATTCCAAACCATTGGTGCACATGGGCTCCAGTATCCTGCGGGAACAAATGGCGTATGGACCATTTGTTGGTCACCGGCTTCCATGGGACTGCATCTCTTCACGATGCTTCACTGCCTTGTGGATCAGACCTCCAGGTCGAAGGCTCCGGGTGTGGTCCCCTAAGAAAACCACCTGTTTCGGTCTGGGCACCCGGACAGTATCACAGCCCTCACACATGTCGAATAAGATTTGTGTGGCGCATATGTATTTGATGACTATATGTTAAAGTAAATAAAAATAACTATGCTACACAGTAACATGTAGAACATGGCAAACAATTTATAATGCTTATGCACGAGTCAAAATCTGTCAACACATTAGTTTTAGTAATCAATCACCCTGTTTAAGAGATTTGTTGGAATATCACTGCCTCTAATTAGTAAAGTGTCGCCTTCTTGTACCAATATCTATGTGTTAAAATAAATAAATAAAGCATATCTACAACTGAAGAACATCTGGAACTCAAGACAACTCTCAACGAACACCAAAGTCAGAATTTGCACTACAAATGTCAAGACAGTTTTACTGTATGGGGCGGGAACTTGGAAAACTACGAAAGCCATCATCCAGAAGATACATGTGTTTGTAAACAGCTGTTTACGCAAAATACTTCGGATCCGCTGGCCAGACAATATCAGCGACAACCTACTGTTGGAGAGAACAAACCAGATTCCAGAGGAGGAACAAATTAGGAAGATGCGCTAAAAATGGATGGGACACACATTAAGGAAAGCACCCAACTGCGTCTCAGGGCAAGCCCTCACCTGGAACCCTCAAGGCCAAAGGAGAAATGGAAGGTCAATGAACACATTACGCCGAGAAATGGGGATAGAAATGAAAACAATGAACAACAATTGAATAGAACTCGAAAGGAAGGCCCAGGACAGAATGAGTTGAAGAACGCTGGTAGGCAGCCTACCCTCTGATGGGAGTAACAGGCCTAAGTAAGTAATTTTATATTTGACACTCCTAGTTTTCAGCTAAATAAATCTTAATTTCTCGGTTCGCATTTATTAATTTGGAAAAAACGGTCAAGAAAATTGGAAAACTATAAGACATTTTATTGAAAACTAAATGTTTGCTGGTTTTCAAACACAAACTTCCCTAATTCAGGGAATTATTACTTACTAAGTCTTAACTCAACTAGGTGCTTAAGAGACTGATGAGAATTCTAAGTTTTTACGGGCATTTTTGCTGACTTCATGTGCAAGATCATCGGTTGGTTATGTATACGATTTAACCACACTGTTTCAATAAAAACATCCTATTCCCTTAACATTTCAAGGGAGTTTACTCCGTTCTTGTTTACATTACAGTGATGATTTGATCTTTTTGACCAGATGTTCGATGAAATTTGATATAGTAAGAAAAATTCATTTGACGGATCTTTCTTTACCCTTAGCAAAGGCTTCATGAAGTTCTGTGCGGTTGTTTTCAAATAATCAGTGTGACTAAGAAATAGATCATTGGAAAATTGAAATTATTGATATTAATCATTATAAGTACCCGCAAATAGAGCGAAACAACCACAAACAGTGCTGAAGTTCTTACAAATATTTAAAGCAAAAACCTTGTGTATATTTAAACGTTAAAAATATCTAGCGAAACGATTGTTGTCGATAAACAAAAATGTTGAAGGATGTGTGATCAGCTGTGATAGAGACATCTTAAGAAAGAGGTGGGAAGCCTTATGAACCAGATGTTTTTCTGAAAAAGAACTTCAGTGTGGCAAAATCCACTCGCCACTACAGCTTTTACAATCATACATAGTAGAGAAATAAAAACTCCGCCGACACCTTGACTTTGATATAAAGAATGTAGTGAGAACATGAATAAGCACTATCTTTTAAATTGATTAAAACAATAAAACAGAAAGATAAAATATAAATGATATCTATCTTAGCAGAGGTTACAAACCTGCCATCTACGATTGGATTTCTGGCTTTCTTTTCCTGAACTAGAGATACCAAGGCCAGTTTGCATGTTATCATTGGCATCATTTATATCATCAACGAGTGTCGAGCCTGGAAATGATCCATATTTTTTCTTATTGACATGTACGAAAAGTGAATACCCATTGAGACGTCTGTAATGCTTAAATTCCTTGATATAGTGTATATATATAAGTTAGAATTATTCAGTAAATTATACACATGACCAAAATATAAAACATAATACATAGTTAAAAAGAATATATTTGTAAAATCTCAGCGAATGAATTTTAAGTAAATCCAACGTTTCGCCTGGCAATCTGGTCCAAGCTTTTTCAAGGAAAATAAAATTATAATAATAAATTATAATACATAGTTATTGTAAATCTATCAAGAACACTAATGATCTATTTGATATAGCTTGTTAACTTGTTTCAATTTTATATTCGCGATTCTCTCAGGTGACCACTTCAGTTTTACTCATTGGGTTACAATTCAAATCTTCTTTAACATAACTAAGTTTCATGCAACTAAATAGTACTTTTGGCGGCGAAAAAAATCTGCGGTTGATGCTAAAACTCAAGCTTTGTTAATCAGTTGCATTACATTTTCTATCATTTGTTTTTTTTCAACCTATGATTAAAAAATTAGCGAGCAATACAAAAGTTTTTAGTTTTGTTCCTGAAGTGCTCAGCACCAAGTCGTACTATTAGTTTTATTTTAAAAAACTCTCAAGTTTAAAAACTAGTGCACCAGTTTTGAATTAGCTATTGTTTTATGCGATCAATATCATTCGACTTGCGATATATATAGAGACATATTTGATAGTATGATAAATGTTAGTACAACTAATACGAAGCAGTACATTAGTTTAAAAGGAGGGAATTTCATATTCCAGCTTCAAACATTCACGATGAAACTAATAACTAATAGAAGAAAATAAAATTTTGATTAGTTGATTGGGGATCTTCAGTTAATTCAAGGACAGGTGTAATACAAAAAAAGATTTACAGTCCAAGATTTTATGATGTTCAGTTGTATCAAATTTTGTATTAAATGGGTAAATAAAATAATTTCACGGTGACGAAACGCCCCAGGAATTAAACACCAATAACTTTCTGGACAGTTGTCTAACAACTACATATTAATTCAAAGAAACGCTTCAATTCCAAACTCATTTCTTGATAAATATAAGCAAATCCTATCAGAACTACAGATGTTAACCTAGTCGATAGTATTTTTAGTCAAATAAAAAAACAAGAATTGATTGAACTGAAGTAAGCAAATGACGAAGACAATAATAATGTCTGTCTTTCAAATATTCACAATCAACCTATCTGAATTTCATAAGAAGTTACAACATAATAATATAAATAGCATGACTAATATTTTAAATCTTGATAAATAAAAATCCAAGAGAAAAAAATGGATGACTAGTGAAGACTAACCTCAAAGTCGATATCATTTATTCCTGCACTACTTTTCATCCGACCGGTAGTTGATACAGAAGCATTAAGTGTTGTTGATGTCTCTTCAATATTTTCTTCATTGATAGTTGATAAACTACTCGAAGTATTATTTGTTACTAATTTGTCATTTTCAAATGAAACTAAACCATCTATGTTATAATATGAAAAACAACAATATTGTGGTAAGGATATTTGTAGCAATATATATTACAAAAGCAAATTTTAAATTTTTCACATGTATTTGATGAAGTAGCTTATGCGAAAATGGACTAATTTGGGTATAACTTTCGTTAAGGGATGATATTTTGTAGAGAACTATTGAAAATTAAGAAATCACCCTAGTACGAAATTTTACACATCCGACTATGCGCAAGATTGGAGTTTACACTGTCCAATCTAGTATGTTTGTAAAGTGTTTTCTAGCATATATTAGTTTGTGACTGAAACAAATATAGTATTTTTGTTTGAGCAAAATTATATATAATGAAACACTACAAATTGAATTCACTTGAGAAATGCAACACTCATATTTTGGTTGATATTTCCCTAAACCACCTCCTAATATTTATAGCAAAGGTCCGTTATAGGTACAGAAATTTAACATTCTTAAATAGGAAAAAAACGATCAAACCGACATTCCACCTTTTATTAGTCCTAGAAACTTCATATGCTTTAGCCATGAAAACTAGTCAAATGTTTAAATAAGCACACTTTGACAATTTCTGTTGAGTTTACTCTTTTTTCTATAAAATATAGGAGTCCATAAATAAGCCATGTAAAAAGATTTATATGAGCTAAAAATTAGTTAAGTAGGTAGGCTATTAAATGTAATAGGGAATTAATCATGTAGCATTTTATGTCGTATTAGTTATTTAAATCTTCCTATTGATTTTTAGGACTGCAATTGATCAGTCCCTTATTGGCATACGTGCATCCTGTGCGAATCGCCTCAATATTACCTGAAGTCATAAGCATCTATAAACTAACTAATCCTACAATATGCTTAAACAAGATACACTTTGATATGTTAACTCACTTTACAAACTTAATAATGAAAATCGACGATACAAATCCTGATTCTTATAATGCTTTACCACAAGTCCCATCGGACGACATATTCAGTTCGCAGTAGTGAACGTCATAATTGATGTTTATTTGCTTGGTTGTGGAAATTAAATTAAGTACGTGTTTTTTTTTGTAATGGGCTACGGAAAAACGGGGAGAACTGTAGTTTATTCCTCCTAGTTTAAGATTTGTCATCAGTGAGGATTTATGATCATACCAACAGCCGAACCCAGACCGACTACGTCTTAGGGCGAGCGCGTCACTTTTAGACCACTGAGTCAGGATTTACTTTCAAGTTTTGCACTATAGTTTAACAAAGATTCATAATTTATCAAGCGATATATTCAGGGATTGCAGTCAAGTACATACAAACTTACTTTTTGGCCTTTTAAACTTCCATAAGCTAATGAATCGAAAATCATATATCATTCAGATACAATGCAAATATCAAATAGTGTTCATTTTGATGCAACTATATATTTTGTATCAATTTAGTTCCACCAATTAGCAACCGGTAATTAAGATGACAAAACTCAACTTTGAAGACAGACATGCATAACACAAAAGCTGAGAAAATCGTTATTCAGCTTTACTTCTTTCACTTGGCACAGGTACTTAAAAAAACCTTGACTAAGGTTAACAATGTTTTTCAGAATAAAAGGAAAAAGACTCATAGAATCTTCACTCAACACATGCCAAACCAAAACACACTATTGTGCGAAGTTGGTTTGTAATTAATGGAATCTTTTGAATCGTCTATAGATAGTAATTTTAATTGGAATATTTATTTAAGGGGAAAAACAGCTACACAAAGTAAGAAATACGTTCACAAATAAATCAGTTAACTTACCAAACTTAGACATTAGATCAAATGCAGGAAGTAATAAGTTTCCAGGTGGATGAAAAGGTCGCAAGGTTAGAAGAAGGGGTTGTTGTACAGGCTAAATAAAACAGATAATGCCGTTAAAAGGATTAATGACTCATGAAATATGTTTAAAAATAACCATATTAAGCACATAAGACTAAAATGTTTATGATTTGCTAAAATATTTAGTTAAGTAAACTGTTCGTCATACCCACGATGAAACTGAAATTTCAGTATAATCCCTATGACATGATACAAAATCAGTCACAATGCCACAAACGCATTTATTCTTGATCTTCTCCTGTATCTTAAGTTTTAGTATTATTTCATATTTATTATTCCCCTTTTTCATACCTTTGCCTAGACTATGTTCTTCAAGTTTAGTCTTTCCCTTTATGACTGATTTCGACCGATCCACAAATGTAGCAGGCTCCACGTTGCTTATGACTGACCAACACTAGGATTGTGTCGACCTCAATGCTAATTATCCCGTTAATTTCATCTCGCCATTTGGTACAGAAATCTGGGCTAATGTACTTTTGCATTAGATCCGGCGCTGATCATAAATGATTAACTGAATTTTAAAACGTAAAAATGAATATCTTATGTACTGCTTCTATTCATATATAAAGAGTTACACAACAAAATTGATATATTTATACCATACAATACAGTTATACAAATCCTGATCACTGATCCAACAAAACATTTCTGCATACAAAAAGCTGAATGTCAACGTGTTTATTGTTACAACAATATACACTAGTTTTTGTACTGAAATCTATTAAAGTCAATAGAGTACTAGTAAACCTGAAAAAAATACTCAACACTTTACTGTCTATAAAACATTGAATAACTGATAAACGGAGGAGCATAACAGAAGCCAGCATACTCATCCCAAGGATAATGAGCATATTTGGCTCATATGTAAGTATCAAATAATGAAATATCATTCTCGCACAATAGTGAAAGATTTCCCTTGAGATAAAATTAAAACAGAAGAAAGCATAAATACTGAAATCAAAATAAATGACCACAAACAAACTAATCCATTAGACCTCGATGTAAAACATTGAAAGGAGGCTTTTTAGACCCTAAAACACCAAATGGCTTTAAATTCTTTATCCAATGGTTGAAATTCAAGTGTTTTCATTGTTAAGCCACTCTACCTGATCCTATGTACTAACAGGTAGTTTGTCACATAGAGCTTTCTACTCTTCAATACTAATAATTTTCAAAAGTATCCAATTACTAGGTACCACAACCTTTTAAAAGTTAACAGTAACTGAAACAAGAAAGTAAGAGTGCAAAAAGACAACCCAAATTTAACAGAAATAGCTAAAATTGATGAAGCGACACAACTGGAATGTTGATTTCAGCCACATCAGTTAAAATTTCTAACCAGCCTTCTATGCGATAAAGTGGTACCCATTTCCCAAAAATAAATTTCGAATCATGAAATAAACTCAAAACTGACATATACATTTTTAGAATGACAGTCCCAGCAGAAATGGCTTCCGAGAAATACAAAATATACTGAAGTTAGGTAGAAAAAGTATTTTTAGATAACTAATTTAACTAATGAATTAAGATCCTTGGTAGTGTGATACATGCAAACATTTTACCTGACTTACTTTTGGAGCATTTCGCCGCCCTAGAATTATAAAGCAATAAAATTAAAAAGATATCAAAATTCAGAAAACAATCATTGATATCATTTAGTAAATCTATTTCTCAAAATGAAGTACACAAATTCATTCAATATACTATTTAAAGCTGTTGCCTCAAGTGAAGAAAAGCTTAAGTACTAATGGCCCTGTTTACACACTTTTGACCATAATTGATATGGATTACCAGTTACTATATAAGTGCAACTTCTGAACTGGAATATTGGGTCAGGATAATTATCTTCCCATAGACGACTGTGTATTACCCCATTCCTTACTTAAAATATAGGAAAAACAACTGGAAATAAACCCTGTAAGTGTGACAACGACCATACGTCAAGTTTAAACACCTTGCGTTTAGGATGCTATATCCTCAGATACAACGTATAAGGAAGATCAATCTTCATTTCGCACTTTGATTTAAGGTGATCTGCACTGAATTAGTTTCAACACATTTTCGTTGTACTACACTATTCCGAGTGAATTGTATTCATTAGCTTCTAGTTGTAGTTACTTGTTTGATTCTTGTATTGATTACTTTAATAAGATTTTGTATTCGGTGGCAATTACTCTGTTAAAAAGATTTGGTAATTAATAAGCACTTAATTGATATATAACTGAGCCAACTTGGATGTAAATCATAATTTACTTTGGTTTCTTTCAACAAATCTTAACAAAATTTGTCTTTTAGAGTAGCTAAGTTAGAAGAGAGCAGTTGTTTACTGTATTGGAATTGTCGTTAGAGTTATCACTCGTATTCGGTAAAATCTTGCTTCTGATTTTTATATGGTGAATACCATGATTACTAAGTTTTATTTTTATAGCTACTCAACAATATTGAACTTCGGTCAATGTGGATAGTTATCACCCAATACGCAATTACGCATTTATGCTTATCCATCAGCGTGAGTAGTTTAACTATTTTGAAACCAAATGTAGCGTTCGAGCTTATCATTTAAATATTTGAAGCCGAATAAATAACAGATGAATTTAGCTAAGACTGTTCACTGTTCAAGTTACACGTATATATTATTAGTAAACGTTCCCTTATTTAATTACTAATGTGACTGATTTGCCAATTACAGGATTTTGTGCTCAGCACAGGTGATACTGCCTGTCTGACCAAACCGAAGTAGGTAGGAAGGAGTACAAACCTGTAGACTATTGACTGAGTCGCATGGTTTAACAAATAACCCACTAATCCACTACTTTGATTAATGTGGTACTCTAATTTACCTGTTAATTCAAGTTTACGAGTATACGATATTACATCCAAAACAAACAACGATAGAACTACTACATAAGCTTTTTGTGTATCGTTTGATACTAGATGTAACTACCGTAAACAAAGATCTGTACTTTCCTATCAAACTATTTTATTCCTCATGAGTAAGTTTTAATGTTTGTTCTTTTTGAAATACGTTTCTCTTCCTATGATTCCTATTTCGCTAACTTTTTAACTCATTATAGTGGTTCAAAATGTAGAAACTGAGATCGATGACGCAAAATTGTGCCTAATTAAACGGTGGGTGAGTGACAAGTTTAAAATAATTAAAACCTATTCGACTATTTTGTAGGTTTTATATTTTAAACTCTTTACCGTGCTGTTTGTCCCTTCACTATCGTTCAGTAAATACAACACTAATAATACACCAATAGCAACTCAGCATACAACAATTTACTCTCCACAATGATATATGTTTTCTGGTTAAAGTGAAGCTATAATCAACAACAATAAAATACAATTCGATGAGGTTTATATTTTACTAACACCAACAGTAGTATACCTGAACGTTTCGTTTGTGACCGAATGCGAGGTTTGGTTGCTCGGACTTTTGTAGATGATTTTTCTTCAGATGAATCACTGTTACCTTCAGGATTATTAGGGTTGGATTCATTCCTAGGTCTCTTCAAGTTTTTGTTTTTTGAATTCAGGGGACAAATCCCATCGCTAGTAGCATCTTGTTGATTTTGATTCCAAACCGACGTCAATGACAAAGATAAAGGTTTATCTTCAAACGGGTTTATGTTGACTATCTTTCTTTGTAAGGTTTCTCCAAAGTTGTTACCTAGCTGTCCAACACTGGACTGAGTATTTTGACTTGGCACATCACTTAAAATACTTTGCAAACAAGCGCCACGCCAAATAAGTTGGCTTCCTGAGTTACTTTGTTTTGGAAATAACACGACACGCTGAGCGACTTTTTCTCCCGCACTTTCTGTCGAGTTGTTACCTGATACAAGATCTGTAGTTGGTAACTTGATGATGGATAAACCAGGATGAGTCATATCACTGGAATCGATCTTTAAAATTAAAAATCAAAAGCTACAATATTGTATAAAAAAGTGCTTTGAGAGAAACTAGCAAGAATAATGAGATGAATCTTCACTTCCAGAATTACATCGCGTATACACTAGTTACAAGCATAAAAATCAAAAACCTGCATTAGAGCTTAAAAATGTCAAGTAGAATAACAATTGGCCTTACTCAATTTATCATAAAAGCTCGATGGTGAAATTCCATGAACGCCTATCGGTAAATGACTGTCAAATCATTAAGAACTAAGAAAAACAAGAAAGTCCTACCTCTCCAATTTATCGCAAAGGATCACTATACTGTACAAAAAGTTGTGATTTTGTTGTAACAGATTATGGGCTTCGTTGAATTTAAAGTGGACTTATCATTTGGGCTAATTTGCTGGTTTTGGGATCCCTAACAATGGATTTTAATTTCAACCTGTCACTGTGGTTACAAATACGGTTTGGAGCTTCAGAGTCAAAAGAATTATTTTTATTTCAAAACCTCATAAGCCGATTAAAGGCTGTCCAAAACAGAAATTCGTTACATTTAGCACTGAATCCAGGTATTACATCTTGGATATGGAAATGAACCTAGCAAAACGTTACTTGCAATCTTCCCCTTTCAAAGAAAACAACTACTCAATCCAGACAAAAATCAAAAATTGCGTGGTAAATAATGGGGTTTTAACGTAAAATTAGGGAAATACTTTGGACTATTGATCCTATAATTCTGAGAGCATTACTATAGCTCTTGGAACAAATAAAAACAAGTTCATGTCTCAGTTAGGAAGAAATGACGTCACACGAGTCCAAAAATATAATAAGGAACGTAAAGGAATAAGGAATGGCATTTGTCATTTGTTTAGACTTAGACATCAAACACTAGCACATTATTACTAAGACACCACTGTTACAATCTGGAAAAAACGTGTTTTAACAGTAATTCATAATATGTAAGAAAGTCTCGCTTTTAAATAACACAGTGAGATTTTATTTTAGGTTATTTCTACATATGTGCGTTTAGTTATTTATTTAAGCACATAAATATTGGTGCAAAAAGCCAGAAAACTAAATATGCTCCAAATAATAAGAAAATCAGATTGTGAGGAGATAGAAAAAGGAGAATGATGATAATATGGAAAAAAACAATAAATGGACAAAAATAGGTAAATAAGTCAAAAATGATGGGAGGAGCAGTTCAATTGAGAAAATATCAGAAAGAATCTTTTCAGTTAAAGTAGCACCTCTCACATCTATAAAAGCAAAAGAAAATTACAGCATCATTAGCACTGGATTTATTTCAACCTATATCTAACCTTACAAGCCACTGTGTAACACTATCTTCCGGACCCCAACCAAGAAGTCATGAAGGTCACATAGGCTGGTCCTGTACAGCTTTGTTGTACACCACAGATGTCACCTACGCGAAAATTCACAAAGAGTACTGCAAATAAATAGCTAATCTACTTTTAGTTACAGCTTTACGCAAGAGCTACCTGAGACAGTAGTGTGGGAATTCATACAGGACTCCTTAATATATCATTTGAGGAGCGACTCTACACATAGATCGATCTTATTATTATAGGACTCGGGACAATCTCCTACTAAACGCTGTGGACTTTGAATAATGACTTGATTACTGACATTTTGTATCCTTTGAGTGTCTCTAAAATTTATCATCCCCGAAGCCATCAAAAAAAGATCAAAAACATGGTCGGATAAATCCAATTTTGAGTAACCGTCACTTCACTGAGCAGTCAAAGACTGGAATCCTATATACAAGCAATCCTATATTCAGTGCCTATCATCAGGAGAGAAATACATACTGCAATGGCCAACGAAAATACTGAGCTACCATTCTTATTACTGTCGAGAAAATTGACCAGTTTAATGGAGGTTTTCGAAAAAACAATCACAGATTTGCACAAATTTTGGTGAAAATCAGACAAAAAGTCAGAATCCTCATGTATTTAAAGCTCTTTTACAAAAATGATACTAAATATTCACAGAATGCAAATTCCGTAAACTTCATACCAATATCTTTAAACTCCCCATGGAAGAATCACATTTTCCACGAAATCGCCTTTACAAATAACAACAATCTTTTAGAGGATTGCTAAAACGAGGCATATTACAGCTAAAATTTTAGAAAGTATGTGCAAATGTAGACGTAATCACTCTCAGTACTGAGAGTGAAGTCACTTCAACAGTAAAAAAAGCCTGACAGTCTTCAATTACATCGAAACTTCTAGTCAAGTAAAAAGTAAAAAAAAACTCGATTCAACTTAGTGGTACACAGCTCAGCTGAGTCATGAAAAAAAAAATGGACTTCGAAGTCCTGGCTAGCAAAATAGGGAGGAAATGACATTGCACTCCGCGTTTAGTTTGAATTTATTTCGTGTGCTGATGGGGCGTGAACAGGAGTAGGGAAAACCGTAAATAAAATGAAAATAAACCCAGATAGCGAACACATGGAATGCACTTATATCTAACAATCTAAGCAATCAACGAAAGTCAACAATAACAAAAGAGTAAAAATAAGACTATCTGGTAACCGAAACCAATGGCTGATAGCCTAACGCTGAGAATGACCTAAACAAGGCTTGGAAACCTTACGAAACACTTCAATGATTTACCCTTAAACACGGAAACCTAACTGGTCATCGGCCAAAGAACCTTCGATGGTGGCCTATTCAAACAACTTTTCTTACCCAAACTTCCTCAACAGGTGCAAGCTATACTGGTCTCGTCTCAAAACAACGCCATAAACATGCTGGCTGCACCTGCCGAACTCATCTTAGAAATCACGAAATCTTCTAATACTGAGGTTTTTTCAGTCAATGAAAAGCTTCAAACGACTTAGAATGACATAACAGAATTATGTCATACCCTTACACGTTATCGTAAATTTCCTAAAGACTGTAAACGGTCACACACACCGTGAAGAAGCACTTCACGTAGGCGATCTGTCACTAGACCACGAAAGGCGGTTAACCCCGACTGGTTCTGGTATCATAACAAGTATGGAAAGTCTTCCAGAAATTGCAGAAAACATTGCGATTTTCTCAAATCCAAACCAACTGACTCGAAAGACAACTCGGGAAACTTCCAAGCCGGCACGCGTTAACGGTGACCGTAGCTGGCGATATGATGACGCTACCTCGCAGAAGTTGACGTTCTTCCAGTGAATTCTAACGACCGACTTCACGAAACAGTTTTAAATCTACATGTGGCAAACGAAAAGCCTATCGCCACATACGGTAAAAGTTACGTTTATCTGAGCGTGGGTTCACACAAACCCATTCACTGGATCTTCGTTGTTGCAGATGTTTCTATGCCAATCATTGGTATGGACCTTCTACAATACCATAATCTAATCATCGATACGTGCAAACGGAGACTAGTAGACGGAAACACTAATTTATCTGTTTGCGTAACTTATTTTCTGGTTGCAGATTATCTCCAGTCATAATTAAGCACATAATAGACCCATTTTATCAACCACTACTCGATAAGTATCCTAGGATACAGCAATCGCAACCGAAATTGCCGTGTGTAACCAGCAACGTTACACATTACGTCACGACTATAGGGCCAACTGTATTCTCGAAAGTAGACCGACTGGCTCCCGAAAACCAAAAACGAATCCGATCACATGATAGACTTAGGTATCATAAGACCGTCAAACAACCCATGGGCATCTCCGTTGCACATAGTCCCTAAAAATGACAGCAACGATTGGCGTCCAACTGGTGACTATCGGCGACTGAATGCGGAAACCATTCCCGATCGTTACTCGTTGCCTCACATTCACGATTTGACAGCTACCTTGAATGGTACAACTGTCTTTTCGAAAATCGACTTGGTTAAAGCGTATAACCAAATCCCTATGGCTACAGATGATATACCGAAAACAGCTTCCATAACTCCCTTTGAACTCCACAAATTTTTGCAAATGTCCTTCGGTCTAAAAAACGCTGCCCAAACACTTCAAAGGTTCGTAGACGACGTTTTTCGAGGTCTCAACTTCGTACATGCGTATATTGACGGCTGTCTAATAGCAATTCCGGACAGAGAATCGTGTCTCCAGCAACCGGATCTTGTTTTCGAACGACTACGAAAACATGGCATTACTGTAAGCATTTAGAAATGCCAAATCGGAACTGACTCACTAGACTTCCTAGGACACACTATAGATGCGCAAGGCATTCGACCCTTAGAACCAAAGTAGCGACCATTCTGGATTACCCAGAACCGACCATCATCAAGCAATTACGCACGTTTAACGGCCTGGTAAGTTTCTATAGATAATTCATACCGAAATGCGCGTTACTTATGAAACCTCTTACAGACCAACTTCGTGGAAATGCGAAATCCATCAATTTGGACGACATCGCGCGAAAAGCATTCTCCACGGTTAAGGAACTTATCGCTCAGGCAACAATGCTTGCTCGTTAGGACACTGAAGCACCCATTAGTATCGCAGTAGATGCATCCGACACAGCAATCGGAGGAGTCTTACAACAATAGGTAAACAACTCCGTAAATAATAAATAGCTACTCATCCAACACATTTCTGGAGCAAACAATGTAGTTGCAGACGCCTTGTCTCGAATAACTTCCTTGAAGGAAGACACTGATCTTCAGAACGAGTTATCGTCTACAACGATCAAGCTACGCATCAAACAGATTGAACAGGTAAGGAAACCTTACTGTGTGACATATCTACAGGTAGGGATCGCCCAATCGTGCCGAGGCGTTATCGACTCAATGTCTTCAATACGTTGAATAAACTTTCCCATCCAGGTGTTCGTGCAACCATCAAACTTATAGCAGAACGGTTTTTCTGGCCTGGCATGAATAAAGACGTGAGGAAGTAGGCACGCTCCTGTGTAAGCTGCCAAAAATCTAAGGTTATCAGACACAATAAATGTCCCTTAGGATCTTCCAAAACTCCCGATGCTCGTTTCGAACATGTTCGTCTGGAT